CGTAGGATAAATGATGAGGTGCAGGAAAGAGAAATCATAAGAGAAAGCTTGTCTTCTCTTAATTAAGAGAAGGCAAGAGATGATTTTTTAGCACAATATGTCTCACCATGTTTTTAAGAATAACTAGTTATTGAAGATAAGGCTAAGAGATGACCCATTGTAGACATGTTTTTTTGTCATCTCTAAATTACATGCAAGATTTAAGATAAAATCACTTTATCAACCATTGTACAAGCGTTGCCTACGGGCATGTCCAATGGTTGATAAGATAGTCTTATCTTATGTCTTGCAGGTAATTAAGAGATGACAAAAAAAGATGTCTACAATGGGTCATTTCTTAGCCTTATCTTCATAACTAGTTATTCCTAAAAATGTGGTGACACATATTGTGCTAAGATATCATCTCTTGTCTTATCTTAAATAAGAGAAGACAAGCCTTTTCTTATTAGTTCTGTCTCCTCCATCTCATTATTTATCCTACATGGCACTCCTAAGCTAGCACTATTGTACATGCCCTACTCATGCTCCCGTTCCGCCTCCTCTCATGAGAGGAGGCCGATGTGGTTGCCGGCGCCGTCCCTATCCTCGGTTCCTCCGCCACCGGCTCATCCTCGTCCTCTAACTGGCCCAATTCGGCTTGTCCACTCCTCTTGCTCTACCTCCGCCTCGGCCTCCGCCTGCTCCTCCATGGCTGCTACCAGCTGTGACGCTCGCACTCCCATTGTCTAAGCTCAGGATTTGGCAGGGTGTTAACTCTCCGAAACATACTTTTTTGAGTAGTTAAAGAAATTTGAGGGTTGTTTTTGAGATGCCCTAAGTTGAGACAAGCGGCTTAGTCTCGTCGCCAAGCTTACAGTCAGACCAAAGTGTCATGGGTATGTGGACATGCTTGTTCACTTCGACAAAATTACCTTAATATCCAGTTGAAAGTCATCATCCCACTCGGTTTTCCAAAGGATCACTAAGCAAAGGGTTTCATAAGAAAGGGTAAGCAAATGGAGTGGATGAGACAAGCTTGTCTTGGCCGCTTTTGGAACCTATTGTGGTGAGCACATCTCACAGCCGGGTCCTTGAATGAACTTGTTTGAACATGTTCTTCTAAATGAATACGCTTGGTTACATCCTGCACCCCCTTTGCTCTCGGGGGAGGCTAACTTGTGGGCAACCACCAGAGAAGTGTTGAGCGGTTGGATTGCAACAGCCCACACTTCGGGTAAGTTTCCGTTTTTTGGCGAATTTCCTTCTGTGGAAAATTTCAAAAAATATACTTGTAAGGAAATTGTGTAACAGCTTTCAAGATTTTCCAAATTGTAGAAAATCCAGAAAAGGTGGTTGTTTTCGAAATTTTGAGAATTCAAACTTACAGAAAGTTAGCAAAATTTCTGAAAGTCAGACTTCCGAAATTTCTTGAACTTTGTCATGTTCCCACGTAAGTCATAGTTCCCATTGGCGACCTCCCTATGTTGGCAACCACGGAGGAGTCCATTCACTCTCCTGGTCATAGCATCTTGAGGCCGTGACCTACACGGAACTATCTTGTACTATTGGAGTCGGGTGAAAGATTGAACAGACAAGGATAGTTGTTATTGCTTTTAGTTCTCCATATAAGACTGTCCTCTTACCTAAACCATCCTAATAACAAACAAACTTTACATACGACAGGGTCACGAATATTCTTTTCTGCCCGTATTGGCTGAACTTTGGAAAAACCTCTTGACGTTGTCTTAATTTAATTGCATTTTTAGAACTATATAAGGGTCCCCCAATTTCATTTCTGAAATTGGTAACACAAAATAGTTATGGACCTTCACTCCAAAACGGTTCCAGAAGGACGTGTTGATTGTTTTTTGAGATAGCTAACCGCTCATGGTGAGCAATAATTGCTTGTTACTCAACAGATCTTTGTGCCTATCCGAACGGTTATAAGATCTGCTTATATACAACAAATTTTCTTTTATGTATACTTGTATTTCCACTAGCAAGCAAGTAGGGACAACCCCACGCCTTTTATCATTTGCCTCACTGTCATGTTCGGTAGCTGCCTAGTAGTAGAAGAGGACAGCTTAATTAAGTGTTTTAGTCCTGGCTATAGAAAGAGACACAAGTGGGTGGTTGAATCTGTTAAAGTCATAAAGGTTGCCGTCTCTACTTTCCTTTTTTGTCTTTTGAAACATAAGGTCACTATCATTTTTATATGACAATCTTTGATGAGATCAGAAATGACTCACCTGCCAACAACCCGAACGTCACAGAGCCAAATTGCTCACGCTAATTCGCTAAACTGTTTCTCTAGACCATATACAGACTTGTGAAATTACGCAAATACAAAAGACAACTCCAAAATTCTGAACTGGCAGAGAAAATAAGCTTGGTTATAGTTCATTTTTTTTTTGCTTGGTTACATCATGCACCATCTTCATTCTCCTAGCTGTAGTAGGCCGTAACGTTCACATGAAGCTATCTCGTAATATCGAAGTTGGTTTGTTATTGGAGTTAGTTCTCCATCATGAGACTACCCTCGTACCTAATCCGTCCTAATAATATGTAACAAATAAAATTGACTATAATGTGGGTCACGACTATTCTTTTATATCGTAAACTGTAAATGTATGTGTTAAATAATCCTTCGTGCGCATCTGGTTCGATGAAGCTTCTTATAAACGACTTATTTTTTTATGTGTACATGTATTTCCACTAGCAAGCAAGTAGGGACAGCACCACACCTTTAATCATTCCTCCCACTTCTTATTCGGTAGCCGCCTAGTAGAAGAGGACAATTTAAGCGCTTTAGTCTTGGCTATAGAAAGAGGCACGAGTAGGTGGTTGAATCCATTTAAGTTATACTATAAAGGTTGCTGTCTCTACTTTCAGTTTTGTTTGTCTTGAAATATAAGGTTACTATCATTTCTACTCCCTCCGTTCCAAATTAATTGACCTCCATTTGTGTAGACACGGATATATCTAGACACTAAACGAGTATAGATACATTCGTATCTAGACAAATGAAAGTCAAGTAATTTGAAACGGAGGGAGTATATGATAATCTTTGATGAAATCATAAGTGACTCGACTATTGGCAACCCGAGCGTCCGAAAGCGAAATTGCTTACGCTAAACAGAGTTGTAGACCACATATACATAGACTATTGAGACGAATTGTTCAAATACAGAAGACCCTATCAAAGACAAGCGAAAGCTTCAGCGAATTAATGAAGCAAGTTGCATATGCTGGAAATAAGATACATGTCATAGATATGGAATATTTTTTCTGTTGCATGAGATATCTTGCCTTAGTTACACACTTTCTAGTTCAATTTGCATGCTCCTAAAATTTGGGAGCGACAAACTGAACTAGAAAATGTGTAACTAAGGCAAGATATTTCCGCCGCGGATCTCCCCGTGCCTCTCCACCTCGCCGCTGTTGGTTGGCGGCACAGGGCTTAGCCCTGGGTGGCTGACGGTGGCGGCGGGCCTTCGTCCTTCTCGTCTCGTGTCACTTGAGGCTACCGGTGGCAGATCACTCCCATCCCGCTCGCGTTGTCTGGGTGGAAGCCGTCCTCCGCCATTCCCTAGGGCAAGATGGGCGTCGCTGCAAAGCACGGGTGCAAACTCTAGCGACAGATCGGTTGGTTCAAGTGCTCTGCCAGATCGGGTGCGGATCCAGCGACATCAGTAGCAGCGCACCTAATCTGCCGATCTAGGGGTTGGTCCGTGCCAGCCCGCCTTTGCCCCGAGCTCATGCATCTTCGGGTCCGGATTGGTGCAGGGCATGCCCGGGGTCAGTGGTTGCTCTGTTCCTTCCATGGCAGATCAAGGTTGTTCCCCGGGCTAGGTCGACCATGATAACAGCTATGTGTGGGGATCACTTCGGCCTGCAGCGGCGGTCTCACTGCGGATTTTGGTCGCCGTCGAAAGATTTTGTGAGAGTTTCATCTCTACAAACCCCGTGGTCCACTTCGGCGGCGAGATGCAAACTATGAATGAAGTCTTGATGCAGAGAGATGGTTGTGCGGCGGCGGCGGTACATCGCGGATAGCTGCTAGGATCGCGGAAAAGTGGTGGCGACAAGACATGAGTGACTTCGATGGTGGTGCTACTTGAGCACCCGGTGCTTAGCTTCGGGGTGAAAGGCTAGGTCTGGCCCGAGGTGGGTATACCTGGCAATGGCGATGTTTTAACGTCCTTACCTTGTTGAAGGCATTGTGTGGAATGCTCGGACTGATTCTTCAGGGTGAAAACCCAGATTCTAGCCTTGGGTTGTTGGATCTGGCGGCGACGCTTGAGTGTCGCTCCCCTACTGAAGGCATTACTCTTGAAGAATCTCGTTGTATGTGTGGTGTCATGAGATGATTGCTGCAGATATGGTCATTGTTCTAGCTTGCCGATTATGGATCTGATTGCTTTGGGGCTTCTTTATTTTTTTCCTCGTCTACACATAGCTTTGGTCCTATATGACTTTGCTATTTGGCAGCGTGTATTTGTGTGTGTGAGTTGGTGTTGGCTATGTGCATCCTAACTATGCAGAGGCCGGGTGTGTGCTCATTGTGTCTACATCGTCTTGATGCTTCATTTTGAGTCAATAAAACCCATCCTTTATAAAAAAAAGCAATTTAAGTCCAACTTATAACCTATTTATAGATGTGTTGGACACAATGTGCAGTACATCAACAAAATAGACCCACAATATTCTATAAGAAGAAAAGATTGATCTTTCTTATATTTGTTAAAGTTATCATCAGATGAGGCTCAAGATGGCCCGCACCGTGCATGCTCGTGGTAGAGCCACACACACGAAGTTTCCGGGAAGGCCACCACCCGGAAGCATCTTCTCCTGGTGGACAAGTTCTATATAGTGCTGCCGACATTGCAGCGACCCCTTGACCAGCCTCGGTGCGCATACCACTTCACCCACCTTCCTGCCAAATTCTCACACACATACTGTTACTTGCAGCACTGCATTTGGTGGTGGGGAAATCCACGATCGATCCTGCCTTGCCACCGATGGAGGCCGTGGTGGCGAGCGCCGTCACAGGAGCGATGCGTACACTCCTGCCCAAGCTCGGCGTCCTGCTGGAGAAGTACAAGCTGTCCAAAGCCATGAAGAAGGAGATCGCCTCCTTGAGTGACGAGATGAGCAGCATGAACGCTCTGCTCGTGAAGCTGGCCAAGACCGATGATGGCGAGCTCGACGTGCAAGACAAGGTGTGGCGCGACCAGGTGCGCGAGCTGTCCTATGAAATGGAGGACTGCGTCGACGCCTTTACGGATGATCTTGATGGTGGCGGCGGCAGGGTCGGGTTCTGGAGACGGCTTTCGACCATCAAGACGCGGCACAACATTGGCCGCCTGATCGAAGAATTGAAATATCGGGTGGTGGAAGTGAGTAATCGCCACAACAGATATAAGCTTGATGAGCCAGCTTGTACTACTTCTCGGAGCCCTGTGACCATTGACCCTTGTCTAGATGCACTGCATACTGAGGCTGCCAGCCTTATAGGCATAGATGGCCCTAAGGAGAAGCTCATGGACCTATTGCTGAGACAGGATGAATATGCCAATAATCACCGGGCACTCAAAGTTGTAGCCATCACTGGATTTGGAGGTATTGGCAAGACAACTCTTGCCAGCCAAGTCCGAGATATGATCAAAGGTCATTTCCACTGCACGGCCTTCGTATCGGTGTCGCAGAATCCAAGCATGGTCAATATCTTGTCGACCATACTCTCAGAAGTTGGGAGCCCCGAGCCTTCATGGCAGAATCACGAGCGTTTCCTCATCAACAAACTGAGGGCACACCTCATGGACAAAAGGTACGCTCACACAGCTAATTAATTCAGCTAACAATAACTGTATGGAGTGTTCAGCGCTCCCGTTCTAGAAAGTTATATACTTTTTTGAAGCTCCATCTTTTTTTTGGCTTTGATAATCCTTTGTGCAAATATAACAAGTTATTATACCGAAGGCGAGAACCAGTTTGTGGTTGGATGGTTAGGAGGGTGGTTGTACTCCCAGCCCACCATAGATCAAACATGAGGCTTGAGACCTGTGTGTGATAAGGTGGAATATTCTTTCGATGAAAGACAAGCATGTCTCATAAACATTCTTTCAGTGCGAGAAGACGTTACAGGTTTATGGTGTGTGTGCGCATGTTCCTAGGGTGAGCGTATGGGTGCATGCCTATGCGTCTATACCGTAGTTCTGAAGAAAAAAAAGGCAATAGTACTCTATAGGAATGGTGTAGATCAATAACAAATAAATAAAAGAATACTAGTGTTTTTATTTAAAATCTATTACACAGTTCTTAATTAAGTATATGTATTTATATTTTGTAAAAATAAATAAATATAGGCTTTCAAAGTTGTATTGGGCAATAATTGTTTGTCAAAACTAATCAAGTCGAACTTGCACAGGTGTTAAAATTTTAGGCCGGAGATAAACTCTATTTTCATTATAATTTTTCAGTCTACATCAATTATTTGCGCCTTTATGTTTTCCGCATGTAGCTTTTCATTTTAGAGTAGCTTGCATTGGCAGGAACTCATACTCTTCTGTAGCTTTTCATCTTCGCCTACCCATGTTTAATTAACAGTTAGTCTAACTTTATCAATCGGGACCCAAGATATTCCAGAGACAAATTGCGAGTAAAAGGACTCCCCATACATAGAAGAATCAGAGCGAGCAGACCCATGGGAGAAAACTTTACTTATCAAGAAACTAATTTGAACTAGATGACAAAGAATAATGATCAACATGTAAGTTCCTATCCTGACTAGACATGCCAACTAATTCAGCCAGCTTGTCAACTTCATCCATTCGTCCAATCACCAACTCCTAGCTACTTTTTATTTCCCTATTCACTACACAAATTTCTAGTCCAACCTCCCAACTTTCTCCTTAAAGTTGACAGCCTCTAGCTCTGTTTCTCAATGACATTTCTATTGCCATCTGGAAATCCCAAAACAACTCAACAGTGTCAATTAGTTCAGTCCTAAGCAACCTTCCTAGACCAAAGACCCACCTAATTAATTAGCTGAAATATGTACAGTTGAGCTGGTCTAACCAAGCAGTTGTAACCAACACTCTATCCAGTTTTATTTTGACATAACTAATAAAATTCCATCAGATTATGATACTGAATGATGGAACTAAAAATAAAAATATTTTCATCGTAGCATCCTTCATTACTATTCTCCTCAAAGCATATATAACTATATAAGAGATCTCCGCTAATATATTTATTACAACATGCAAATATGTCGCATCACCATTTAATCATGCATATGACAAAATCCCAACTCAACTTGCAACGTATTATTCTACTTACATTAATAAATATTTTATACCTATAGTATAACTGAATATAATAAATCATGTATATGTATTTTCCTTTCTAATTATCATACTATAAATCCAAATACTCAAGTTCCATACGACTAGATCTCATCAAAATATATCATAGCCAATCCTCGCAGGAATGCCCGAGGTCTCATATAAATCTTAATGAATGAGACCGGGAGCCATGCCGCCTCGCACCCACTATTTTTTATATAGATGCGCATTCATATGTTTAATTATTTAAGGATTATTTATGGTTTTAGCACAAATTTGTATGAACAAATTTTATAGAAGTTATTTAACTTAATAAAACAGTTGGTGATGATCCTATTGTGTGTTCTTGAGTATGAAAACCTGTATTTTACCTCATTGACAGATACCTTATCGTCATTGATGATATATGGAGAATAGAAGCATGGAATATTATCAAATGTGCCTTTGTGGAGAATAACCTTGGTAGTAGAGTTATAACAACTACACGTATTGAAGATGTGGCTCGGGCATGTTGTTCTTGTTTCCTTGGCCATGTGTACAAGGTCAAGCCTCTTAATGATCTTCACTCAAGGAGATTATTTTATAGAAGGATTTTCCCCTCTCAAGGTGCTTGTCCTGAGAAACTAAAGGATGTCTCTGATGAAATTCTGAACAAATGTGAAGGAGTTCCATTAGTCATAGTCAGTGTAGCTAGCATTTTGGCTAGTCATAAAGAGGGATACTCAAAGATATTCTGGGAGAAGATACAAAATTATTTAGGTTTGCAGTTGGAAGGTAACCGTGCTCTACAATGGCTGAGATATGTGCTTAATCTAGGGTACATTGATTTATCTCTGGACCTTAGGACATGTATGCTATATCTTGGTATATTCCCAGAAGATTCTGAAATAATGAAGGATGATTTGAAGAAGAGATGGATAGCCGAGGGTTTCGTTACTGAAAGGCATGGTTATGGCCCGGAGTCGATTGCAGAAGATTTCTTTAATGAGCTGATTAATAAAAACATGATACAAATTGCAGAGTTTGATGATTGTGGGCACGTGTTATCTTGTCGGGTGCATGATGTAATGCTTGAGTTTATCGTATGGAAGTCCACGGAAGAAAATTTCATCAATATAATCAAGGGACCCCCTACAGTTGATGATCCGCAATGCATGAAAGGATGTTTGCAGGTTCGCAGGTTATCCCTACAAGTCAGAAATTCGCAGCACAATGAGTTGCTGGGAAGCATGGCTCTGACACAGGCCAGATCATTCAACTTTTGGGGGTCTGCTCAATGGATGCCTTCACTGTCGAGATTTCATGTCCTGCGAGTTCTACATCTCGATCTTGGTGTTTATGACTCCAGAAATGAGGAGGAACTGTCCTCCATAGGCAGCTTTACCCAACTGAGGTATTTGAGGATCAGAGGCGCTGTGTTTAAGAAACTCCAGAGACAGTTGCAAAGATTACAACATCTGAAGACGTTGGAGATAGTTGGCGAAGACATAAATGAGTTTTTACACCTAGAGCTCAATGTCACAAAGTTACCACCGACGTTGTGGCACCTGATTGTTCCATATACTGTGAAGCTGCCTGGTGAGATCAGCAGGATGCGTGCCCTCCGCACTCTGGGTGAACTCAGCATAGATCTCCAAGATGTGGAGAACATCAAAGGGCTCGGTGAACTGGGAGATCTGAGGGACCTGAGGATAATTCTAGATAAAGGTGTCCGGGAAGGCGATTGTGCGGATCTTGCTGGTTCCCTGAGCAGGCTCAAATGCCTTGAGTCCCTAACCGTCCGTATGGCTGGATCCGTCAAAATTGTTGATGTCCTGACTAGCTGGTCGCCTCTTCCACGACATCTTCGAAGACTACATGTGCTAGGCCTCCCCTTCTCCACTATGCACGAAGACTGGATCAACCAACTCGACAATCTCAGAAGCTTGAAGATCCACGTTGTTTCGCTGCCAAGGGATGGTGCGGACGTTCTTGCCAGGTTGAGCTTGCTGGTGCACCTTACACTGCATGTCGAGAAGAATGTCCCCGAGGGAGGCCTCGTCCTGCACGCCACTTCTTTCCCAAACCTCAGGGATTTTGTGTTCAGGTGTGAAGGGATTTGCCTCGTGTTCGAGGCGGGTGCCATGCACAAGCTTCAGAGCCTCACCGTGGAGTGCTACGCAGAAGCAGAGCGGCAAGGCGGTGATTTACTTGAGGGCATCGAGTATCTGGAAAGCATATTGTCATTCGAGTTCTCTATCTACAAGAGGAAGGACTTCACTCTTCTTCAGTATGAACTGCAGGGCTATTGTTCTCCGCAGCCTAAAAACTGGGACGTGGAGAGTCTCAAAGCCGCGCTCAGGCAGGCGATCAACAAGCATCCGGGGACTCCTGACGTTCGCATTCAGTCCATGTAAACATGGTACGGACAGAAAACCCTCCATTCTTCGCAACTTTGTTTCACTTATGATCCCTTTCAATGTTCACTTCTGATTGCATACTCGTGCTTCTCTCTATGCACTAACAACTCTTTATTTGCTCTCATTGTTATCGTTAATCTGACATAACTCTGTATCTCGTTGCCTTATTTACAGGGTATGTATTTTGAACAAATCGATGAACACATTCACGCACTGGAGATACTACGGAGAGTGTGACAAGGCTAATACAAAACCACATTGGTCGCCACGCATATCGTGATTTCAGTTACTTCATGCATGTTTACCTGTTAGTGTTTGTGAGGTCTAAGCCTTCCTTTTTATTTTTAGAAGATCTCTAGCGCCTTTTTTATTCATGAAAAAAGATAACTTCTTTAATCCAGGGTGTGTACTTAAGCGACAGAACTATTTCTCTGTTAAGAAGATTGTCTTGTCCCTTGTCAACGAAAATGTTGTAATTTTAAAGAAACCAGGATAATGTGTTAAGAACATTTGTACATTGGCTCTGTCTCACACGACTGGCGACTATTGCAGTGCCGAAAGACTTTGATGATGGAGTCAAATCTATGCTGCAAGGAAGTATCTTGATATTTGAGGGACCTATGCCAAGTAAATGCAAAACAAGGCCCTAAAATTGGAAGAAACGGTAGTAACAAGCAGTAAATGAATCAAAACTTCTACTAAAACATATCATGCATTTGATATTTCTTGAAATGGATTATTCAATTATATCTTCATAATTAATCTTCTCTAAGTCATCATTTGTTCAAGTGCTATGTAGCTAATACACTGCGTCTTTCTACTGATCATATGGATCTGATTGAATATGGAACCTTGGCGCCATGTATAAATCCAAGGTGAAAAGCTAATACACTGCGTCTTTCTACCGACTCAACTACATAGAAGTTGTGGCAGCCTGCAGCTTGGTAGAGAAAGAGATGGAGAGGCGACCGACTCATTATATGGAAAAGGTGTGATCAGACTTGCTCATATACTGGAAGTTTGGATTGTCATCATGGCCTCTGAACTGCTAGGATTTTTCATTTTTTGCACCTTGTTTGTCATGTAATACTAGGCCTCTTTGGTTCAGAGGTTTCTTAATAGTTTTTTTTGGGATGTAAATCTATAGAATTTGTTCTTTTTAGTCCATTTCGTTCGAAGGGATGAACCCTCCAAATTTCCCATCGATTACTTTCCAACACTACAGTTTCATAGAACATCCCTTTAATCCATAGATAATTCCAAAGGATTGATTTCTTAGGACCAATTCCTCCGAGTCTATGATAACTGAGACATCCATTCAATCCCTGAATAAAATTCCTGTTTTTTTTTTGTGGTGCAACGAAGAAACTTCTATCACCAATTCATCTATTTTTATTGAAGTGTATTCAAAATGCCATGAAATTATATTCAGGCCATGTTTGGTTGCTAGGGAGAGAAACTCCAGGGTAAGAAAAGCACGCGTGTGATTCCTTGAAACATTGAAATACACGGGATATTATCCCTTTGTCATTTGGCACTATGCCACTTCCTAGAGAAAGCTATCACTAAGGTTCTTGAGGTTCCTGATGAAGAAGCAGAGGCACTCTGTCTTCACTCGCAAGAGAGAGCAAGGATTTCGCTCCCGATGTTTGGAGGCATGGAATATTTCTCTACGGAATTCGCAAGGATCGGGTCAGAAAATCCCTGGCTGGTGAGTATCCAAATGCATAGATGATTTCCTAGGGCTGATATGCCTCGTGGATTATGTGCCGAGGTAATGGGCAGGGATCCCTGGGGTTCACCACAACCAAACAAGCCCTCAAGCGTTTCTCTAATCCTGCCAACAGAAGAGACCCAATTATATCACATCATGAAGCAGTATGCGTCATCCAGATTGCATGAACAATTACTAATACTGCAACTATTGATGATATTAGATTATTATTGATGTATTTGGTGTGGAATAACATGTTTATTTATACATTTTTGTCTTGGGAATGCTTTAATTATAAAAAACTTTTACCTGTCGTTTAATATATTGACTTCAAGAATTTCATGTGAGGTTTAATTGGGTGCAACTCTGACAATCTCTAAGGGTATGGACCAATAGGGCGTGGAACGAGACAATGCATTTGTTTCCGTTGGTTCCATACATATCTTCATTGATAATCTATGGTTCATTATCAGTGCACCCACATTGTCCAACGTCCATCAAGCACACATGAACAATCAGCTGCAATATAAACGACAATGGAAAACATGCGAGAGGAACGATGATGAACATGACATTCTTAGTTTTTTTTTTGGACGACATGAGAAAGAAGATTGACAGGTAGGTGATGATCAGTCTAATGTCGGTAGAGATTAATAGTTGGGTGTCTTTTTTCGATAAAAGAAAATTATATCATAGCATCAAGATGTTGCCCATTATGCCTCACTGAACCAGAGGATTGCAACCATCTTTTCGCCCACTGCCCATTCACTCAGCAGGTTTGGCGTCTCTTCAAACTATGGACAAGAGAAAATTTCATTACACCAGACGAACGATCCACATCGACGGATTCCTAAACCCATGAGAGCAATTTCGACACCATCACAATTCTTATTCACGGGCGATTCTGGAAAGAGCGCAATTCCAGGATCTTCGACGAGGCTGCGAGCATGGAGAGCCCATGCAGAACGGGTCTTAGACCTGGCCAGAGAGGATATGGCAGCATGGAGAGAGCTGCCGGATGTATTGCTGATCACTGTAATTGGCGGCGGCTTACTTTGTTAGCCCATGCAGCCAACTGTGGTACTTCTCTTTTGGTCCTTGACCACTTACGACTGTTTATCAGCTTGTATTCTCCTCTCTTTCTATCTAATAAAGTTCAGCCAATGGCCCTTCGAGATATGTAGGGCACCTGGTTTCTTGGTAGTTGGGTGTTGGGCGCCGAGTAAATGGCTCGAGATGGTTTACTCGTGGTAAAGGGAACATGAATCCAACTCCACCAGGCACTTGTAGAGGTGTGGACGTGGTAACACTTCCACTAACGTGAGCGGGAGTAGGACAAGAATTAAATTCCACCGACCAAATATGTAGGCGAACTACTCTGCAGATGATACTTAGTGGTCCGATTGTTGTACGATGATCAATCATTAGTGCTCCAGTTATTGTTGTACGCGCATTTCATTATAGCATCAAGATGATAGATAGGACACCTCAGCCTTTTGTAGTTGGGTGTTGTGCAGCCAATAAATGACTCAGGCCCTGTTTGGATTATCTTTTTCGTTTCAAATACACCCGTAAAACTTACAGACCTCCGCCCGCCGTTTTGGTTTCCGGCCGGAAATAGTTCTTGGCCGGTAAGTTACACTTGTAAGGATAATACACCCGTATTTAATTACACCAATGCCAAGCGCGGCCTCAGGGTTTACTCGTCATATGCGTAACCAGAAATCCAAATTTTAGCCATCACTAATACGTATCTGGATGTGTAAGTATCAACATGTATGGCATATGTGTGGATGTGTAAGTATCAACTTTTACCCATCAGATTTATAATTTGGTGAATACTTATAACGCTTGAGTGAAACTAGTGTGCGTACGACATATCTTTGGTTGTCCGATAATTGTACGATTATGATCAATCAGTGGGTACTGATGTTTGTCACACATGGATAATGTCGTCAATGTGCCCGATCTGCTAGGCATCAATGGTCTTGTACCACGCCTTAGCTGACCAACAATGGTTATGTACCACATCATCTGTGTATATATATGCACAATCCTCGATTTACACTCTGGTAAATACTTATAAAGCTCTTGGTAGTTCAATAGTTGTACGACGATATGATCAACCCAGCTGCATGTTGCGGTTTGTCGCTGCAGCAAAACACATAATGCTGCAGCAAAGCTAGTGTGCGTACGATGACGATCAACCCAGCTGCTGTAGCTGTTTGTCGCACGCGCATAATGTTGTCCATGTGGCTGATCTGCTAGACAATAATAATGGTGAAGAGTGCGACGCCTTAGCCGATCAACCTGCGTCGTGAGGCTATATATACGGGCCAAACGTAGAAGCGAGATTTGCAGGCCAGCCCAGGAAGCAAAGCAAACAAACAAGCCATGAAGATGATGACATGCATCGCCGCTAGCATCCTGCTGATGCTTTCACTGGAGGCCTCCCTTGCCGTCGCCGACGACGTGGTGGGATCCATCCTCCTGCCGAGCCAAGGCAAAGGTATATACGGTGCCTGCATGCATACATGCAGAGAACTCATTTCTCCAATTGCATGAATGATACGTAGAACTGACGAACGTACGTAAGTACGTACGTACTGCGTGGTGGTGCAGGTGCAGACGAGGAGGTCCAAGGAGGAGCAGCAGCACTGCAGCAGTCATGGCCATGGGGGGGAGGCGGCCGTGGAAGTGCTGCGACCAGCCGATATGCCGTGGGTGGAAGTATCCGGTCTGCGAGTGCGCCGACGAGGTCGACGAGTGCGCGCCCACGTGCCACTCCTGCGTGCCGTCCAAGGCGAACGCCACCCGCAAAGTCTGCGAGGACACCTACATCGGCAAGGCAGGGCCCGGGTGCACGGAGAAGCCATGGAAATGCTGCGACGAGCCCTTCTGCTCCGGCGCGGACCCGCCGACGTGCCACTGCGCAGACGAGGTCGAGCAGTGCGCCCCGACCTGCAAGACCTGCTTGCCGGCGCTGCTTCACCCGTGGACCCGCCACATGTGCTTCGACTTCTTCCATGGCTTCCCAGGGCCACAGTGCAGGTACCTTGCTGCTGCCGACGACGCCGCCGGCGGCGGGTACTAGCACGCTGCGGTCGTTCCCTGGGCGTGCGCTCCACTGAAATCGCCGCGTCCGTACTGCTATGTACTGGAGTACTAAGTACCTTGCTGCAGCAGCAGCCTGCAGTCAGTGTGTCACAATAATTGGGTGGCTGTCCTCAGTGTATGCTGCGCCATGAATAAAAAAAATGACGACGTGCCAATGTTTAAACTTATTAAAAGAATGATGTGTTTCTCTGGTTTCGCGAAGTCTCATTCAAGTTCTAGCTGAAAATATTTCTGAAATCTATCTCGCTAAACGTCAGGCACAAGCAAATTCTGAAAAAGATAAATAAATCACACTAGTAGAAAAGAGGGCAATGGTCCAGGCCGGATCAGCCCATTAGTCCCGGTTCAATCCAGAACCGGGACCAATGGGGGCATTGGACCCGGTTAGTGAGCCTCGGGGGGCGACCGGGCCACGTGGGCCATTGGTCCCGGTTCGGATGGACCTTTTGGTCCCGGTTGGAGGGACGAACCGGGACCAATGGGCCTCGCTCCTGGCCCACCACCATTGGTCCCGGTTGGTGGGACGAACCGGGACCAAAGGCAGCCCATTAGTCCCGGTTGGTGGCACAAACCGGGATTAAAGGTGTGATCCTCGTTGCGGCCAGAGTTTAGTCCCACCTCGCCAACCGAAGGGGGCTCACACCGATTTATAAGCCCCTCCCTCTCAGCCTTGTTGAACTGCTCTCAAAGTGAAAATAGATGCCATTATACAGGAAATTTGACCTAAATTCATATTGAATTTCCCTGAAGTTAGTACAAATTTATATGAATTTAGGTCTAATTTTCTCTATAAGCGCATCTATGCTCATTTCTGAGTAGTTTTTTATATAGTTTTTTTCTGCTATATTTATTTTTTTTCCATTTATTTCTGAGTTGTAATAAGTTATTAAAAATAAAAAAGATTTTAGTAAAGTTAATCACAACTATTTTTTCTTCTAATTATTTCGGAGTAGTTTTTTATATAGTTTTTTTTCTTTTTTGCTATATTTATTTTTTCTATTTATTTCTGTGTGGTAATAAGTCATTAAAAATAAAAAAGAGGCGCAATGCTAGTTAATTCGCTTCAAGCCTTTCGGAATAGTGTAAACTGCACTGCACATAGCTCCATGCAGTCTACCCTATTCCTCAAGGCTTGAAGCGAACCAACATGCAGGTGAGCATTGAGCCTCTTCTTCATCTTCTCTGCACTCAGGGCTTATAAACAGCTGCGAGTGCCTCTCGCTTGGCGAGGTGGGACTAAAAAGGGGGCAATGGTCCAGGCCGGCTGGGTCAGCCCATTAGTCCCGGTTCAATCCAGAACCGGGACCAATAGGGGCATTGGACCCGGTTCGTGAGCCCCGGGGGGCGGCCGGGCCACGTGGGCCATTGGTCCCAGTTCGTCTGGACCTTTTGGTCCTGGTTGGTGGGACGAACCGGGACCAATGGGCCTTGTTCCTGGCCGACCATCATTGGCCCCGGTTGGTGGGACGAACCGGGACCAAAGGCAGCCCATTATGGTTCGGCCCTTGTGATACCATGCCAACTTTCAACTTTCAACTTTTTCAGAGTTCATTTGAAATGCTTTAATGCAGAAAACAAAAGAAAATAAATAATGCAGAAAACAAAAGAAAATAACTGGAAAAAAAATAAAATAAATAAAGCAAAAAGAAAACAAAAAAAGTGTATTCAAATTTGAAAACTAATGGCACTAACAGAAAGTTTATAATTTTTCTAAAACTAAAAGCAAAAAGAATTAAAAAGTAAAGCAAAAAAACAAAAGAAAATAAATAATGCAGAAAACAAAAAAAAAATCTGGGGAAAAAATAGCAACAATAAGTATTTTGTTGTAAGTAGAAACAAAATAAAATAAATAAAGCACGAAACAAAACAAAAAAAATAAAAAAAGTGTTTCCAAATTTGAGAACTAATGGCACTAACAGAAAGTTTAAAATTGTTCTAAAACTAAAAGCAAAAAGAATTAAAAAATAAAGCAAAAAAAAAAGAAAATAAATAATGCAAAAAAAAACAAAAAATCTGGGAAAAAAATAAAAATAGAAACAATAAGTAAAGGAAAAAAAGTGCCTCCTACTGGGCACCCACGGCCTGAATACGACTAGAAACCCACCATGGGCCAGGATTCAGGCCCGCAGGTGGCCCAGTAGGCCCAACAGGCAACGCGGTAGTAAGTAGGCCCGTAAGCCTGCAGTGGAGAGGAGCTCGAGAGGGGTGCGGCAGTGGGGCTTATAAACCACTGCGCACCCCTCTCAGCTAGCGAGATGGGACTAATTAAACTTTTTGTGCCGCACCGTGCCAGCACACGACCATTGGTCCCGGTTCGTGGGTCCAACCGGGACCAATGCCCACCCTTTAGTCCCGGTTGGTGGTACCAACCGGGACCAAAGCCCTCTTCTTCCCGCCCTTTGGGCTGCTGAAAAGGGGGTCATTGGTCCCGGTTGGAGCCACGAACCGGGACCAATGTCTTTGCTATATAACGAAAATTTCAGAACCGCATCCCCACTTCGATCTCTCCTTCCTCTTCGATCTCCCGATGCCGCGCGCCGTCGCCGCCCCGCCCCGACGCCGTCGCCGCCCCGCCCCGACGCCGTTGCCGTCCCCATCGTTGCCCGCGTCCCCGTCGCCGCCCCGCCCCGACGCCGTCGCCGCCCCGCCCCGACGCCGTTGCCGTCCCCATCGTTGCCCGCGTCCCCGTCGCCGCCCCGTCCCGCGCCGTCGCCCGTCGCCGCCCCCGCCACGCGCCGTCGCTGTCCTCCTCGGCACCCCGCCCCGTACGTCGCCGCCCCATACGCCCCCGGCCCGTCGTCGGCGCCGACCCCGTGTATTTTCCTCTGTTAGATAAATTAGATAGAAATATTAGATATTAATGTCAAATGTTAGATGAATTAGCTAGATATTAATTAATGCTAATTAGATGAGTTAGATAAATTAGATAGAAAATTAATTTAGATTGTGTAATTAATTTGTTCATATTGTGTTAGATTTTTTTTGTTAGATTTTGTTAGATTTTTTATGATTTTTGTTAGATTTTTTTAGATTTTTTTGTAGGTCATAGATTTTTTGTTGGATATGTAGTAATTTAGATGTGTAGTTCATAGATTTTCTGTTCATAGAATCTTTATGATTTTTTTCTGTTGTAATTTTGTTTATAGAATTTTAATGATTTTTTTGTTCATAGTACGTATTTAGAAAAATGAAAAAAATAAGAAGAGAAAGTGTTTAATATAATTAGTTAGAAAAATACTAGTTTATTTTTAGTAATTCTACTTTATTTTATTTATAGTAAGTGCTTCATATATAGTTGAACTAGCTAGTTGATTTAATAAACTACTTTATTTTACTATATATAGAAGTAGTTTGTTTTTAGTAAGTACTACTTTATTTATTTATAGTAAGTGTTTAGTAGTTGAACTAGCTAGTTGATTTAATTAATAAAACTACTTTATTTAACTATATATAGAAGTAGTTCCTGCATCGACGTCAGTGATGCCTATCCCGCATCCTCGTCGTCGTCGACTCGGCGGTGGAGGCTTGCTAGATCAGGGCCATGTTCGGGACTGGGCTCCGCCTGGCTGGTATTGGGACGTGCTACCTTTCGGGGGACGTAGGTTGGTGAGGAGGCGGTCGCGTGGTCCAGTGACGGTGCCGAGGCTTCCGGACACCGCGGAGGTGGTACGTCACCGTGTCAGCGAGGAGGACGAGCACGTCCGTCGCTACATGGTTGCATTGGAGGGCAGGTTCGACAATACCTGGCAGGTTCTCCAGGGATCTCACTGGAGCTATGATCCTGTGATGGTTCCTTATCTTACCGCCCGCGTTGATACCCGTCGGGCGCTACGGTTCTAGTTGTATTAGTGATGCTATATTAGTGATAATATTCGACGATGTACGGGCACCAAGAGATGATGTACTTTTGCTTATTATTGAATGCATGCTAATTTGAATACTACTTTATTTTATGATTTGGTTTTGCTTATTTTATGATTTGGTTTTTCTTACTGAATGCTCATATTGGATAAGTTCTCCTTCATTCCCGTGTGCTAGACAATTTGATGTAATAATGCACTCGGGAATGAAAGGTGGAGCTACGTACATCACCGATAGTCAACTTGTGATTAATAATCTACACTACTAGGAAAAGGGCTATAGATATGATTGATACTAATGGCGCACCAGGTAAGTAGTGCGCCACTACTATATACTAATGGCGCACCGGTTGGAGGTGCGCCATTAGTGTGGAAGACACTAATGACGCACCAGGCACACGGTGCGCCACTAGTATTGATTTTTTTTCCATTTTTCCATACACTCTAATGGCGCATCCGGTTGAAGTGCGCCATGACTAGTTCTAACTAGTAATGGCGCACGAGGCAGATCGTGCGCCATTACTGTTGTTTTTTTTATTCTTTTTTTTGCAAAACTACTAATGGCGCACACAGGCCAGGTGCGCCATTACTAGTTTAGACTAGTAATGGCGCAGTGTGACCAGATGCGCCATTAGTATATATATATATATATATATATATATATATATATATATATATATATATTACTTTTCTGCAACACTACTAATGGCGCACCAGGTGCGCCATTAGTAACCAGGGTTACTAATGGCGCATTTGCTGCTGGTGCGCCATTAGTAACCTGGGACCCCAACAAGATATTTTGGACAGCCCCACACCTACCCACTCACCTTCCCCACTTCATTCCCTCCACCTCCTTCTCCAAGCTTTCGGCTGCCTCCTCCTCCTCACCTCATTTCCACCATAGATTCATCAAAATTAAGTGGTGAAATTACCTTTTTTTGATAGGTAAGCAAGGGGAAAGCTATCTTCATGATGTAGATCTACTTTTTTTCTCCCTAGCTCGCTCCAACAACGTGCACATGCACTTTTTGTGGCCTAGCTAGATCTATGTATGTTTGTGGTGTTGCTTGTGTTTGTGGTGTTGCATATATGTTTGTGTTTGCAGGTACCGGTATTT